CCTTCACACCCATCTTAATCATTTTTTTTCCACTCAGTTAATCTAAAATTAACATATGTCTATTTTATAAATTTCGCTTTAAATGAGTTTAATTGTAAACAAATAAATTAAAATAAAATGTATCAGCATAAAAATATATATAAAAATACTATTAAAATCGAAACAAAACTATTTTAGTGTTTATGTGACATTAAAAGCAATCATAACGATTTCTAATTAAAACAGTGCCCAGGAAAAATTTGATTTTTAAAATATATTAGAAATGTGCATAGAGAAAAAGTGAAACAAAAAAGAAAATAAAATTAAATTAAATAATATTAATTATTGAAATTAGCCGAAATCTGCATACAAGAAACAGCTTTTCATTCAAACATTTTAAATATTAGTGAGCATACGCTCGGCCCCAAATTGGCTACGTTCCACTTTTTCTAATGTCCAACTACCGTATTAACTGCAACCACGAACAACAATACCAACGGCAACAGCAACAACAACAACAGCAACAACAACAAAGAGACATAGTACATCAAATAAATAACGAAGACTACGACGAGATGTACGCGAGTCTTCGCTATGCCAGTACGAATCTCAGTCATAGCAGTCTCCTGCTAAATCAGACCGCGCTCGACAGTGTACCGGGCGAGAGCAACGAAGCTCTTGACGCATCAGTACCTTTAATAGTACAAAAATCGGTGCCATTACCTTTGCAAGTGTCAGGAAAATCCACTACATCAAGAATAGTTCCAGCCGCAATAGCAGCTGCTGCGGCTGTGGCTGCAACACCAATCACTTCAAATTTATCAGGCTCGAAGGTTAGACTTGCGCCCTTGTCTTTGCCACCAAATATTAACGCTGGTGGCAATAGCTGTGGTGTTGGAGGCAGCAATATTATAAGTAGTAATACGCATAACTACTTACCACACGATTATAGCTTTTGTGATTCGTGTCGACCGTTACGGTTCCATAGTCATCTATCGAATTCAACTCACAGCGGTAGTCCCGGTACGATATCACATAAAAGTTTTAGTGCCAATTCGCCAATTCCACGGTTTTATAATTTACATTCAAACTCAAGTTCAAGCTCAAATCGTGGCAATTCATTGTCAACAACAGCTCCGCCACAATCGTTTCTAACACAGTCTTTGCCTACAGCAACACCATTTCAATTACGTACATTTCAACAATTTTCTCGTTTACAGCCCCGACGTACCGCCAGTAGCAGCATGTCGCAATCTGGGGACGATCTACATTCGCCCAGTTATCTATCATGGCGAAAATTACAACTAAGCAGAGCCAAATTGAAAGCTTCCAGCAAAACATCAGCTCTACTATCAGGATTTGCAATGGTGAGTTTATTTTTTTTTTCTTCTATTTTAAAAATGATTTATTTTTTACTAAATGTATACCTATATAACAGTACACCCATTTTTAGTCCTGCATCTTTACCTTAGAAGTGTTGAAATATATTCAGTTTTAACAAACTTTTTTTTTTGTTTGTGAAAAAAAATTTATAATGATGTTGTGATATAAATACGGTGACAGCTCAATAAATTGTTGGAAAAAGTACTAAAATCGCCCGCATGGTGATAACAAAATGCTTTTTGTCGAGCAATATTTTTCAGCTATTTATGACGTAGCGTCATTTCTGTATATGATAGACAAACTTATCGCACTGATCAAAAACAACGTATGAAAGGTTTCACGCCCAAAGTGAACAAAGTCAATTTGAATAATGCTTATAACACATTTGCACCCTCACATACGTTTGTAGACAACTGGGTTTATATATTTAAATATGGTTGTATACCCGCTTTTGTTACATTTTATTCAGGTGACTCGATTAGGGTTGCTACGCTAGAAATCTTCAATAATATATACGATATTGTCAGACTGTCGGGGTTCTACTATGAGTCATAACAGCAACAACCGCGATAATATTTTGATGGTTTCAAGAACGGTAGGGTTCATGTCCTGGAGCCACTCGTCAAGCGCGACGACTACAAGTGCCGTTCACTACCCCCGAACGGGAGTTTAAAAGCAGATTCCAGCGAGTTGCAACAACAACAACATAATGGTTTTGACTGATCGACAAGTGACAGTATGTGAGCTTGTTGAGGCCTTAGGCATTTTACACAAAAAATTGGGTATAAAAAATTTAAATTGAATTTACTTAACGGGGCTACGACGGTTGACGATTTCAAAACAAAGTTTAAAGTTATTTTGTTATTATTCAGCTAAATTCTTGGGTCGATCTATTACTATGGAAAAGTGAAATATATTTATACACACTCGATACAAAGAAATAATCAATGAATAAGGTTGAAATAACGCGAAGACAACTAAAGCGGTACAAAAAGCGAGAAACTTCTAGCGTTTACAATACCACGTACCTAGGAAAGTAACTAATGTCGACAATATTTCTCCACCAATTAAACAATTAATGTTATTAAATAATTTACCGGGCATGGAGTCCATTTAACTAATACTAGTAATTTCATATAATCTAGTTTTAGAGACTATAAGACTAAGTCATCAACATATCTGATACCCTTTTCCCTTTACTTTGGATATATCTATAGACTAGATAAATGAATAAGGTAATTATTTAGCTTTCTCGGACCATATAACGATCTCGGGCAATAGTATAGTAAACATAAGTAACTATGGAAATGACGTTACTTAGACAAGTAAAGCTGCAATTGTCAACAACATCATTCCACTAATTGGGAAACGGGATTTCCGTTTTGATGCAAATCCAAATCCATATAATGTTCCAAAGAAATATTGAAAAATAATTATATATTAGTTACAGGCTCCTCGGGGAGGTATGCACATCTGAGGTTAATTATTGCTTAGTCTGATGAAGTGATAAACAATAATCCAGTCAAGGCGTAAAGAGGGGTTTTGAAAATAGCTCAAGTTAAGAAAGAGTAAAAGTGCTCAAGTGCACTGACTCAAATAGCTTCAACATAAATAAATAAATTTAATATTAATCCGTTTTTAGTTATAAATATATTTTATGATTATTTTTGTTGTTTGTCCTTTCTTTTATAATTCACAGTCCTTATAAACGGTGGAACTGCAACTAAAATACTAAGCGGTACTTGGTAATTGTAGTTGATTGTTTCTGGAATGTCTTCGTGAAACTAGTCGTAAAACTTGAATTGATAATTAATTAACAATAATTTACATTTTCGATTTAAAAAATAAAATTATAATAACGCAAAAGGTCCTAAGATATATCAAGAATGTAACATTTAGCACTTTTTCCCTATTATACATCTTTTACCTTGAACTCGAGCAAAATCTAAAAACAAAATTTGATTTATAGAAAACAATAAATTATTCGTGTATTTTTTATACTTTTCATTATATACTTTATTTTATGCTCGTGATTAAATTATAACAAAATGTTTACATGCTTCACTTCCTGTCTTGCAATTTTTATTCGATGATTTCGATATCATCCATCTTATTCTACAAGTATCTACTTACTCCAATCTGTCTATCTGTCTAATGTTCGTCTGGCTGCCACATAAAAGTAATTCACAAAAACTATTTACCAAATTTTTTGGCAAGATTACAATAACCACAAAAAAAAAATAGTGAGATATTTTCGAATATACGAATGTGTGAATGTACATATATAAAAGATACATAGATACTGTCTTTACAATAAATTTTAGTACAGAAATTAATCACATTGAATAGTGATGGCATATACATTAATTTTAATGTTGTTCAACATGCTAATTTGAACATGAGAACCAACTATATTAGAAATATTTTAATTTTTATTTTGTTGAAGTCAGTTTTTTGCTATTTATAACCAAGGTAAACGGGTTATAAATAAGGATGGGGACTCCTAAGAGAAGTCTTCTTATTTCAACTCTCTTCAGATGGTTTCCGGTATAGTCTGATGAATATTCTAAACGTTAACAATGTTTTTACTGAAACCCAAGTTTTATCTTTACTTTATACTTATAACTTTCCTGTGGTAGAAATCGTTGCTAAAGGATTCCTAAATTGTTTCCACTTTTTCTGTTAATATATTATCTACTTTCCGATCCAAAGCGTTTTTAAAGAACCGTTAAGATATACCATGTATTTTTCATGGTATATACGAAATACGAAATTATAATATTTCACAGGTCAATGGTGAAAATGATGTGGACCGTTAGCGATTCGCAGACCGGCGGTTGAAAAACCTTTATCTAATTTACTTAAAAATAGAAAATAGTTTTAATAAAGCTATTTTAGATGAATTTAAATATAATTATGTATTTGTACTGTAGACAAAACATAAACATCAAGAAAATCCTTTGCCGGTTTTATCTTAGCCTTATAAAGATGTTCGAGGTTGGCTCAGATCCATTGCCAATGGATTTGAACGTTTTTTTATGCGATTAGTATATTTCTTTACTGTTTTGAAAATTTCTTTTTGCTTGGAACTCTCAACTGTTAGTGTACTTATTTTTGGTTATATAGATATCCCAATCCGCCCATTTAAGATTTTTCGTCGTATTTAGGATTGAAATCGTTAAGTTATAGCTACATTTGCTCAGCTACATTCCCGTATAGTTATGGATTAGAACTGTAGATTATGGAGTATATAATCTGTTAGTTAGTACTCTAAGTTCATTTTATTCATATATATATTTAAATTCATAAATTCAAAATTTAAAAAAAATTGAAGACACGAAACTCTAAACTTAAGCAACTACCAAAAGGTCAATGTTTTATAAACAAAAATATATAATTCCATGATTGATTATATAGAAGAAATACCTCAAGCTTACCGGTTTTTAAAAACCACGTTAATTTTATGGGAGATTGCTCTTTTACAATTGTCAACACAGCATCATTGATAAATATCAAACAATTATTCCGTTTAAAGTTTGCATCGTTTCACCTTGGGTGTCATTATGCCATATCAAGAGTACGAAAGTCCTGACACCCATCTTTAATATATTTATACTACTGTATAACCAATTATTTGTTTCAATATATATTTATTATGAAGCTTATAAGTTTAAAATGTAGTTTTAAATAACTCGAATTGAATTAAGAAGAATAAATACTACTGACAAGTATTAGTAATATCAGACTATTATGCATACTACTACGATCAGCACTCCTACTACTAACTACTTCTACTAGCACTGCTAACAACTACTACTAACGTTTACTTACTTACTTGCTTGATTGGACATTCAGTAGCCTGCACCAGCCAGTTCGATCAGTGGCTTGCTGTCGCCAGCTAGTAGTACCGAGCGTTTCCATATCGTTAATCATCTGGTCCTTCCAAGATGCGATGGAAGTATTCTACCTGCGGGTAGCGAATCATACACTTATCTAGCTGTAGCATTTTTTTCTTTTGCATGACATAGCCAAGTCTGCGAAACCGCTGAATTTTTATGCTGTTAACTGTGTCAATATCGTGGTATAGCTAATAGTTCCATCTAATTCGATACTCGTTGCCTACACGTATGGGACCATAGATATAGCGAAGAATTTTTCTCCCGAATGCTCCTAACGCCTTCTCATCACTGTTAGTAATTGTCCGAGCTTCTGCATTATAAAATAAGACAAACATTATGAGAGACCTGTAGACCGTAAGTTTTTTATCTAGAAAGGGCTTTTTTTCGATTACCTACTTAGCCCGCGTATGGGACCATAGATCTACCCAAGAATGCTTCTCTCGAATGTTCCTAACGCCTTCTCATCACTGTTGGTAATTGTCCAAGCTTCTGCATTATAAAATAGGGCAAATATTATAAGAGACTTGTAGACCGTAATTTTTTTTTTTGTCGAAAGAGGGCTTTTCTTTCAATTACCTACTTAGCCCGAAGTAGCATCTGTTGGCAAGAGTGATACTTTGTTGAATATCTAGGCTAACGTTCTTTTTAGTGTGTGCGCTGGTTACCAAATAAACAAAATCTTTCTCTTACATTTGGTACTAAATACTAAAATTAATTTCTACTAATACTACTATTTAATTTTTTAATTTTATTTATTTCTCTTCTTTTTTAGGTGGCAATGGTTGAGGTTCAATTAAATAATGACACTGACGTTCCTGCTGGTATGCTAGTAGCCTTCGCGATTTGTACTACGCTGCTCGTGGCAGTACATATGTTGGCACTTATGATAAGCACGTGCATACTTCCAAACATTGAAACCGTCTGCAATCTGCACAGCATTTCGTTAGTGCACGAATCACCGCATGAGAGGTTACATTGGTACATTGAGACGGCCTGGGCATTTTCAACTCTACTGGGCCTAATATTATTTCTAATAGAGATTGCTATTCTGTGCTGGGTGAAATTTTACGATTTAAGCCAACCGGCTGCTTGGTCAGCGTGTATTGTGCTCATTCCGGTACTAGTAATTTTCCTTGCATTTGCTATACATTTTTACCGCTCGCTTGTGACACACAAGTATGAAGTAACTGTGTCCGGCATAAGAGAATTAGAGATACTGAAGGAGCAAATGGAGCAAGATCATATGGAGCATCATCAACATCGAAATAATGGATTAAATTACGCTGCAAGTGGCGAAATTGTCTAACTTCCAATAAAGTCCATACAACTTTAAAGCCTGTCTTGAAAAACGAGTATTTTTGCATATAATTTGTTGTTAGCGATTAGGTTATGAACACACATGTGTGAACAATATTTAATTCATAATTAGGATTAATTTTTAAGTTATGGTAGATCGTAGATCGTAAATCGTAAATCGTAAATATGTTTAATTAATATTGATACGAATTAAAATACAAAAGACGTAAATGTGTAATATTTTATATGATAAATTCATTCGATTAGTTTATTAGTTTATTATATTAAATATGCAATTGTGATATTGTACACCGTATTTTTAACTTTGCAATATGCAAACGAAATTCTAATTTTATTTAGTTGGTAAATTTTTTAGAAACAATAATTATTGAATTTTTATTACTAACTGATAATGTGTTACTCTTAAATATAAGTATTTGTAAAAATATTTTTGTAAAATTTTATATAAGAAGTTTATTGCCCACATTATATATCGGAATTAATAATTATTACAATAATTATACTTTACACACATTAAGAAAATTAAAACACTTCCACAAATCTCAAAGGTTTTAGTTATTTATTTATAAAAATATATATTTTTTTTAAAAACAAAATATTTTTTTATAAACTGTCATACATTATAAAAAAAATATTTTAAAAATTAATTTATAACTAAAATACAAAAAAAATAATTTTTTACTGGAAAATATTCTTTAAAGCAGTAACATAAGTTATTTTTTAATATTATAGCATACTTTAAATTAATATATAAAATAATTTTACAACACTAAAATTTTGAAAATTAATTTTCATATATTCCTAGTTTTATTATCACTTTGTATTATTAATTTTTTAAATAATTATTTTTATTTAATCAATAACCATTATTTTATACATAACTATTAAATTTTTTTTTTATATTTAATTTTGAATAATTGTCTTATATGCTAAATTTTTAAAAATGAAAAATTTTTTTAAATTAAATATTCTGATTTTAACATCACTTTTATTTTTATTTTTTTTATTTACATATTTTATTTAATAATCATACTTTACTATTATACTTAAAAGCAATAGCATATATATGATATAACAATACTGAAAGAGATTCGCATTTTTATCTTGTAAGATAAAAAAAAATTTAAACTTAATTTTTTATTCTTTCAATTTTCAATAAATTATAATAAAATAAAATTTTTTTCTTTTAGTATTTTTTATTTATATAATTATTTAATTAACTATGTATACTGTGTTTAGTATAATAAAAATATTAATAAAATTGCATAAGAATTTATGATATGAATATATGTAATCAAAATAAGTAGAATTATATTATATATACAAATAATTTTTATTAAAAAATAAATAAAATATACCCATACCATTTATAAAATTCTGAACTTATATATTTTATTTGTAAATGCATATAGAATAATTATTCTTTAAAAAAATTGATTAATAAAAAGAATATCGTAGGCACAACGCTTAAACAACTAATTTTCAATGGAGAAATTATTCAAATATTTAAATATAACAATAGCTTATATATAATAGCCTGTAAAGAAACCAATCGCATTGACAACAATATCTAGAGATTCTTACTCAAGAATAAATAAACTAGACAATTGGAGATCGATTAAAAAAATATCAATGCAATAATTACAATAACTTATTAGAATAAAAGTTCATCTATAAAATAAATCCATTATAGTTAGAGATCTAAATCAGTATTTTTTTATTATACAGAATAGTAAAGCAATTAACAAATATATATATATATCCAATTTGCAATTACTTTAATTGAAATATATCAGTAATAGATTACAATTTAGGTATTCTTTGACGCAGCACAATAGGTTTCTCCAATTCTTTACAAGTGCATATATATTTTGGGTCATCGAATTGAATTTTTGTATACCATTTACCTTTGGGATCGATCATATTAAGTCGCTTGAACTTTTGTACAAATTTAATACATAATAGTTCCTAAGAAATTTGAAATATTATTAAACTTATTATATACAAAACCGATTTCAATTTTATATCTGTACCTGTAAAGATTTTGGTGGTTTGTCTGCATTAACCATATATGGACGGAAAAAGTTTCTTATTAACTTATTGGGATCAACAAGGCGCAACTAAAAATAACCAACATTTTTATAAATTACAAAACATTGAACAATATACATATTATATACCGGCGGTATTGGATATTCGGAGGGATGATCAACTTGATTACGAAATTCATCAATTATCATTGATGTTTTGCATATATCATTCTCCCACATTCCTTTTTGTATTTGTCCTGTATGATTATGATAAAATGTACCTTCGCCATTTTTGAGACCTTGCGCGTAATGTCCTTCATAACGGTTGCCATTTACTAAAACAAAGTATTTAAATATATCTTAATTGCATTTAAAATTAAACATTTTTTTTAAATCAACTTACAATAAAAGAATACACCAACTCCATGATAATAATCAGATCTCCATTCTCCTAGATAACAAGTACCATCCTCAAACCACATGATGCCGAGACCGTCACGCCTATTATTTCTCCACCAACCATAATAAACGCCATCTGGAAAGAATTGCTTACCCTCACCGCTTTTCTTGTCACATTTCCAATCTCCAACGTAGTACTTTTCATAAGTACCATCCGGTTTACTTTTACGCATCGTTCCAAACCCATGGCGCTTACCATCAAGCCATTGTCCATCATAAGCCATACCCTTTTTTGTAATCTTTACACCATAATGGTCTTGCTTACTTTTGGTCCAGTATCCCTTATAGGTACCACCACCGGGATAGAAAAAAGTACCACGCCATCCAGTACTTTCTCCTTTTTCATGATTCACAGGTTTGCATTGTACGTAGCAGCCTACACTCATGTCGGAATTTTGATTCTCCAATTGTTAAGACCAAAATTTACAATTTTTTGTAACAAATAAAATATCAAATTTTTAAATTAACATATCCAAAAATGTAGCAAACAAGGCCTGCTTTTCTCCAATTCCTATTTCCAATTGACATTTAAATTCTGTCATGCCTAATAGGAAATGTGGTATTGCGATGATAACAGCAGAGCCTGCATATTTACACATATTATTATGTTATGAAGTGCATAAACTGGGGAAAATAAATTATCTGCATGTATTATTATGTATGTATGCCTAGGATTTTATGGCAGAATAACACGACATCCATCTAATGTGTCTGTTTAGTGTATTTAGCGATACCGTCGCTGAAGTCACACAAAATTTAGAAGGTAACCCATTTTTATTTTATTTTTTTTTTTCACAACAATAAAACAATATCTTATACCTTGCACACTCACTCGTTCTCTTGTAGATGAAGTATTTATATAGGGATGAGGCGTTCAAAATGGTGTCTCTAGAAAAAAATGTAAGGTACATTTAAATCTCAACTTTGGGCAATAGTATCAACATATTCAAACAGGACTTTTGTTCTGTCAAATAACTTAATTTATTTACTTATAGTTCTATTAAAATTGATTCGTAGATCAAAAAGAAATTTACACAGACATTCTTTATCGGTCACTGTTAATAATAAATTTAATTTTATTTTATTTAATAAATTGACTTATTTTCAGCTTTCT